GGGGGATTGATCTTTTGACTCCCCTTAAAAAAAAAAAAAAAAAAAAAAAGTACATTGACAGTAGAAACCACATGTAACAACCTTTTTTTTTTAATGTGTGCAAGCATTTTAAGAGGAGAAAAAAAAGGCTGGATTTACAGTGAACTCGCTTTTTTTTTTTTCTTCATGATGTCACTGCCTGTGGATATTTTTACATAGAATTTGGGAATCTTTGCCTCAACTTGTAAATGTACCGTACATTGAAAAGCGAGCCACGGGATATACCGGTACATAAACATGAAATAATTTGTAAATCCAACCTAACAGGAGTAACACAGCGAATGATGTTTGACACTCTTGTGAAAGTGAAATGCTCTCAAAGTCAAAAGACAAAATGATTGACGTTTTGACAGCTGTGGTGCTGTGATTTAGTCGAGGTAAAGGTGACAGAATGTGCGAAAACAAAAAGGAGAAAAAGGGAAACAGAGAAGAATCTGTTTGAAACCAAGAAGAAGAAAACATTTACTTGAAGTTTGCCAATCCTTGATGATGGTTCTTTTGGTTCAACAGGGCTTGGTGCCGGTTTCTGAGTAGTTGGATTATAAGAAATTCATCATGTAACCAAATCAGGTCTTGGAGAAATAGTCCGTACGAGCAGTTTTCACTGGACTCACCTGAATATCTGAAACCGTTTCTGGCTTGACTAGCAGCGCCCTGTCATTAGACGTGCTGGGTTTCTCCGCTACTTTCTGAGAAAACAAACAAAACAAACAAAAGTGAGGCTGACTTCAAATCCATGCTTTTAATTAATTAAATAAAATTGCATCATGATCAAAACAGTACCGGGGGCAGAGATCGAGGCTTGCTGGAGCCAAACAGGTCATCCTCTTCGTCTTCTGAGAAGAGACTCGTCATCGGCTTCGCTGAGCTGAGCTTGGTGCTCTAAAAATAAAAGACAGTTGGGTCATCTTACCACGTATTGGAACAAACATACGGTCAAACAGACGAGACACACTCCAAAAACCGCGCATCCTAATCTTTGCAGAGTTCATGCGGGCCTCGTAGTGGATCTCATTAGATTGTGAAGGTCTTCCTAATGAAATGGCCAAATGAGTGTACAGCCAGCAAAAGAGAACAACAGATTAAAAATACTGACCGTGGTCTTGACTGAGACGGCAAAAATGTCGACATCCGGATCGTTGTCCTTCTGCTGGGTGGGACTAAACAACAATTCCTCATCCAGGAACACGCCGGTGCTCTTTGCCTGAGGCCGCTCCTCTGTGGGCTGAAAACAAATTACAGTCAAAGCGTAAATGGGCTTAGCCGTTCACAATTTAATGCGCGTTTGTGAACATAAACGTCAGTGAACTGAGATCAGCGCAGTTACTGTTTTTATGGTAAAAATGGAAGGAGTTCGCCTGGTCTTTGTCGGCGACTCATTCGGGTACGGCATCCGTGAAACGGACGGCAAAAATAAATCACACAAACCTTTGCGGTGTTTCTGGCTGTAGGTTTACTCGGGGTGAAAATGGGATCGTGCTCGTCTTCCACTTCGTCATCATCAAACAGACTGAGAGCGTTCGTTTTGACTTTCTCCTGCGTCTTAACATTTGGTGGCGGGCTGTGATCATCGCCGTTGTCGTGTTCATCCGACACGCTCTTTGCCTGCTTTTTGGCCAGGACGTTGATGCCCCCAAACAGGCTAACGGCTCCGACGGGCTTCTTCTTACTTTCCGCGGACGACGGCAGACCCTCTGGGGGCTTTGCCGCAGGTTTCTGCGGCAATGACGGTTTCTCTTTCGCTCCCTTCTTAGCATCTGAAGAATCTGTTAATTTGTCTAACAGGGAGGTGGGCTGAGAATCGACAGGAAAAAAAAAAATAAGCACAGCTGACTCTATCCATCGAGAATGTTGTGCAACTGATTATTATTAAAGAAGAACATTCCAGAGATTTTTTTATTATTTCCACCCCCCCACTGTACTCACTTTAGCTGTTGCGTTTGCGCCATCATCTGTTTTGATTCCAAACAGGGATCCTTTTTCTTCTTCATGCTCATCCTCAAACAAAAGAGAAACTTTCTGGGGTTTCTTCTGACTGTGTGAAGTGAGAGACAAAACCACAAGTTGGCAATGCAAACACATTCATCGTTGAGTAGCAACAACTTACAACTTTGAGTTGTCAGTCGTTGCCCCGCCCCCAGTTTTAGCCCCCCATTTGAGGCACCAATATGCATATGTACTGATGTCTAAAGTATTTTTAAATACCTCGACTGTTTTGCTGGAGCGAACAGATCGTCGTCGTCATCGTCAAAGAGGGTGCTTTTCTGCGACGTTGTAACACCGGGAAGACTGGAGGGGGCGCTGGCGCTTGCTTTCATTCCTCCTCCCGTCTTGGTCTCTTGCTTGGCAGCGCTGGTTTTAGGGTTTATCCACTGGTCCTGATACGGTGTTAATAAATTGAGCAACTCGTATTGCAGGCTGGATATTTTCGATATCTCCTAACATACCTCATCATCACCGAAGAGGGAGCTGGAGATCGCTTTACTGGGTTGTGGCGTAAATGTTTTCGCTGGGTTCGGCTTTGGCTTTGAGGCAGATGCAAAGAGATCCTAGATAAAGATTGGAAAATTAATTTAAAAAAAAAAATCACAAAGCATCATCATGTAAATGACCATATTTTCCATATAGAGTAGCTGCGGGGGTTGGATGGTGTGTTGGGGAAATTTCAATCTATCCGATTGGGGCGTGAATGTAAAAAGCTATTGCGTTCACCTCTTCTTCGTCATCATCAAATAAGGTCACATGAGGCTTGAGGATTCTGCTCTGACTCATCGTGTGGGGATCGGACTGACTCCTGGGGATGGTTGGAAACATCTCGACGAGGGAAGATGCATAAAATGAATACAATGGATGCACAAGCGTAAGATAATGTAACTTCAGACCCTTACTTGCGTGTCTTCATCATCGGAGAAGAGACTACTCGCAAGGGGTTTTGGGGTCTGAGTGACAGCTGTTCCAACATCTGGAGCCAGCCCATTCTAAAGAAGCAGATGAGAGAGAGTCATTATCTTTCTGAATATGTTTGAATTCTTTGACGACAAATATTGAAGCTCTGAAAGAAAATTCTAGGAAATATGAAGTTGTGGTTGCTTTTTTTTTCCACCTCCGGATTGAGAAACTACAGCAAACCTTCTCAGATTTCTCAGAGTCGTCGTCGGGGGAGGTTTGCCGTTTCTTCAGGCCTTCAGAGAGTAAGCTTTTTGTGGCAGGACCAAACATGGATATGGCACCAGCAGGCATCTAAACAAAAAAGTTCAGTCATGAGAGGAAAAAAAAGAAATGCCTATATGGTCATTGTTATTTTTGCATCTCCTCAAATTTTAACATCATGAGAAAACTTTGAACCGGGAAACCGGAGTACCCGGAGAAAACCCACGCAGACCCCGGGAGAACATACAAACTCCACACAGGAAGATGAATTAATCTTAACTCTTATTCCCCAAATGCAAAATTAATCAGAATACTGCGTTTAGACTAGCGGCAGCACATTCGAGGCATTTCTGCAAAGGTAAGTTTTGCGTTGGATTCCCCTTTAAAGATGCTCGAGTTTACAAATGTGGAAAGAACACATGCCGATGATTACCTTCTTTTCCGACGGTATAACTGGCTCTTCCGCCTCCTTATTCTGAGCTGCCTTCTCGCTAAATATGTCACCATCCTCGTCATCTTCTTCAAAAAGGTCAAGGGGCTTTTTGGGTTTGGATTTTACCTGCGCGGCTGAAAGAAAAAAAATCAAATAAATACACCTCATATAAAGTGACAAGTGTAACTGAAAGCGCTCGTTAAAAGTGAGCACACTCACCGGAAGAAGATTTTTTCAGGCTTTTACCACTGAAGAAGTCATCGTCTTCATCCTCCTCCTCATCAAACAGCCCCCCGCTGACGGGGGCCGGTTTAGGGGTGACTTGGGATTTGCTGCTTTGCGCTCCATTCTCTCTGCCCGCCATATAGTCACCCATTGGACTGAAGAGGTTGTTGTCTGTGTTCAAGGAAACCAAAAATTCTGTCCATTTAAGAGCTTTAGCACACGTGAGAAGGACATACGGTACTATGCTAGCAGGTAGCCCTTACCTGGAAATATCGAAATGGCACCAGCTGGAATTTTCTTGATGGGTTTGTCAGGTTCTTTAGGGAGGAAAGAAACAAAAATGGTCACATTTCAAGCTACATGTATTGAACAAATAAGAAAGTAACACCAGATTTTGTTTTGTACAGATGAGGCTGTTATGAATTTTGCCGAACTGTAATGTATCAGTGAGGCAAATTTACATAAGTCGGGGGAGGTTTGCCGTTTCTTCAGGCCTTCAGAGAGTAAGCTTTTTGTGGCAGGACCAAACATGGATATGGCACCAGCAGGCATCTAAACAAAAAAGTTCAGTCATGAGAGGAAAAAAAAGAAATGCCTATATGGTCATTGTTATTTTTGCATCTCCTCAAATTTTAACATCATGAGAGCAGGCATCTAAACAAAAAAGTTCAGTCATGAGAGAAAAAAGAAATGCCTATTTGGTCATTGTTATTTTTGCAGCTCCTCAAATTTTAACATCATGACAAAACTTTGAACCGGGAAACCGGAGTACCCGGAGAAAACCCACGCAGACCCCGGGAGAACATACAAACTCCACACAGGAAGATGAATTAATCTTAACTCTTATTTCCCAAGTTCAAAATTAATCAGAATACTGCGTTTAGACTAGTTCCACACAGGAAGATGAATTAATCTTAACTCTTATTCCCCAAATGCAAAATTAATCAGAATACTGCGTTTAGACTAGTGGCAGCACATTCGAGGCATTTCTGCAAAGGTAAGTTTTGCGTTGGATTCCCCTTTAAAGATGCTCGAGTTTACAAATGTGGAAAGAACACATGCCGATGATTACCTTCTTTTCCGACGGTATAACTGGCTCTTCCGCCTCCTTATTCTGAGCTGCCTTCTCGCTAAATATGTCACCATCCTCGTCATCTTCTTCAAAAAGGTCAAGGGGCTTTTTGGGTTTGGATTTTACCTGCGCGGCTGAAAGAAAAAAAATCAAATAAATACACCTCATATAAAGTGACAAGTGTAACTGAAAGCGCTCGTTAAAAGTGAGCACACTCACCGGAAGAAGATTTTTTCAGGCTTTTACCACTGAAGAAGTCATCGTCTTCATCCTCCTCCTCATCAAACAGCCCCCCGCTGACGGGGGCCGGTTTAGGGGTGACTTGGGATTTGCTGCTTTGCGCTCCATTCTCTCTGCCCGCCATATAGTCACCCATTGGACTGAAGAGGTTGTTGTCTGTGTTCAAGGAAACCAAAAATTCTGTCCATTTAAGAGCTTTAGCACACGTGAGAAGGACATACGGTACTATGCTAGCAGGTAGCCCTTACCTGGAAATATCGAAATGGCACCAGCTGGAATTTTCTTGATGGGTTTGTCAGGTTCTTTAGGGAGGAAAGAAACAAAAATGGTCACATTTCAAGCTACATGTATTGAACAAATAAGAAAGTAACACCAGATTTTGTTTTGTACAGATGAGGCTGTTATGAATTTTGCCGAACTGTAATGTATCAGTGAGGCAAATTTACATAAATGGCCCACCCCACTATGCTAACCTAAATGAGTTTGGTAGGGCCGCAATTTCAGGGTTATTAGTCACGATTGCTTCTCTTCTCACTTACATCTCACTTACTAGCATTAGCATTAGCCACAGTTTTGCTCACTTTGGTTAGATGATCTCCGAGACACAATCACATATATTTCTGACAAAACACTGTATTTACTCAGCATGGGTGAGCACCGATATCGATATCGGCCGATTATTTCAAGATATAGATTACTCATGACTGATACCGATACCAGCACCGATACTTAAGGCAAAAAAACCCCAAATCTGACATCGCATCCAAATACTAGCGGTATCGGCACATGTCAGTATTCGAGCGTGAATACTTGTACTGGTATCGATCTTTAAAAATGTGGAATCATAACATTCCTAATATTTACTTTACCTGCAGCTTTACTGGTGGTTTTGATGTTTTCGTCTGGTGAGTTTTCCTCTTTGGTCGGAGGAACCTTTGGTGCATCAGAGAACAGATCACCCTGCGCAGCATTCCGCAAAAAAAAAAAAAAAAAAAGGACA